CCTTTAAAACATTCACCGTGCTTCTCACCTTGGGGACCATCATTGCCGTTTCGTACCTGGCTGCTGTTTTGTTTCAGAGAAACCTCCTTCCCCGCAGGTGGGACGTCTGTAATATTATGGGGACAACCAGCACCCTCATCCCCCTGCAGCAGATGGAGAAACAGATCGGTTCGCCAACGGTTGCACCTGAAGAGAACTGTGATTAAATCTAGGGCCTCATTTGAAAGGTCACAGTACATTCAGCAATTAGAGTGTGGTACAAACAGCATCGCTCTTCCCTTTGCTTTCTCCAATAATGAGTTATTTAAAGTCCTCACAGTGTAATAAAGGCACACTCTCTTCATCCGAGGAGAATGTGTGAGCTCGAGGTCTGCAGTGATTAAAGGCGCATGGTGATGGAGCACAATCTTGTGGTGGTGGCCACAGGGCACCTCGGGTCCCATCAGTGTTCATTTTGGGGTGTCCCTGATACCCCACCCAAAAGCAAGGCTACAAATCACGCTCCAACATTTTTGGCATTCTCAAGTCACATACTTTTCTTACCACAAAGGAGACAAATTAATGTTTAATAGATCAGGTATTCTTGATTAAAAAAAAAACAACAAAACAGGTGAGCAAACCTGTTTCCTTTACAAGAGCTAGAGTTTTAGCATAGTCATCCCCAGGGAGTGCATCGAACCAGATTACTGACTGCAGCGCAACCACCACAGCACTCCAGCAGTAATATCAGTTCTGCACCATGGTTTGTATGCTCCACAAAGCTTCCCTTGATACCACAAAAATTTGTGCATATGCCCCTCCCCTGCTACGGTCTCAGGCCACACAGCCAGTCTGCTGCCACGTGGCTGAGGAGAGGACATCCCTTCTCACATGACCTGGCAGGGTAGAAGCAGATGAGCAAGACGAAGCAAGAGCCCTTAATTACTGGATAAGAACATTTTACATAGCCACTGTTTACAAAAACTCAACCAGCTGGAAAAATGGAGGTGCCAGAGAGACTCTTGAATGAGTCTTCTCCAAAACACCTGGTTAAATCACTGGTGTGAAGGTGTTACCCAAGCACAGCAGTGGCACATTTTGGGACACATACACAAACCGGTGTGTGAGATCTCAGAGGACTGTGATGACGGAAAGGTGCTGGAAACTGATCCTGAACTTGTCTGCAGGGACACAAAATCCTGAGGGCAAGATCTCAAAAGGTTCAAGCCACTAGGTCTGTACAGAAAAGCACCTGATATCTTGTTTGCTTAAATTCTCAATGGCTCAGAAAAAAAGCAACCCAGCTAACTAGTGAGTTTGGCCTCTAGCCTAAAGTCTGATGGACCAAGACCGTCCCACTGTGGGACAGGTCATTAAGATGGGAGCTGAAACAACGATTCGGAAAGATCCTGCAGTGATGGCTCATGGATGGCTGTCAATTCAGAAGGATCCTGCAGTGATGGCTCATGGATGGCTGTCAGTTTGTACTTCTCTCAGCAGCCATGCAGCGGCTCACCACCCACAACAGCCAGCAGGAACCGTGCACTGGGCAGCCTCTCGCCACGAAACCTTTACAAAGTGGTTGTGGGAGCTGCTGTGCGTGGAAGCATCTGGCACTGTTGGAGGGAAGATATTTACCGACATATTCCAAATACCCCACAGCAGAGCAACCTTGACAGACAACTGAGCTGCCAAGGGTGAAAACAATATGCTGCTCAGTGAATTGCTTTCAGCAAGTGCTGAACACTCCACTGTGCGTGCACAAGGCTAGAAACTGCTGGTGCCACCATGCACGGCTGCAGCAAGCTCAGCGAGGAGCCAAGTGTCACTCTGAAGTGTACCAAGGCAAGTGCAGTGGCTCGGAAGGAGGACTGGCAGCCCTAAGCTCTCAATATGGCTTTGATGACTCTGCTTCCCATGGGGAGCACCTACCTCCTTTAAAATACCCATCCTCAACAAGGTGAAATCCTACTACTCATCAGAAAAATATCACACAACTTTATACTTTGCCCCAGCATTAGTGAACATCTGGGCACACTTAATTTCCCATGCACAGTGGTCCTGTTGATGCATTTTGTTAAACCAAGACCAGAAATTCTGTCCTGTATCTCTAGAGACTGTCATGAAATATTAATTATAACATGTATCTAGAAGAGGGAAAAAAAACCTGTTTGGAATTATAAGCATTACCATTAACTATGGCCCTAGGTGGTCACCCACTGAAGTCTTTCGCACCTCAGTGATTTGAGTGGGAGCATGTGAGGACGTGCTTAGCTAAGGGAGACACCAAAGCTATCATTACCGTAGCGCCAGAAGAACTGGGCTCTTGTTGTTAAATCACAGTTGCTGTATGCTGATTCAAGCATACTCCCCTGAAAGATTTAGAGATGACCTAGTCTGGGGACCTCAACGGCCCTCTGTGCAGAGCAGACCAAAGCTGACATACTGCACTTGCATAAGGGCACAGATAGGCTGCATGGCCCCAATGAGAGTGAAACTCTGATGTCCTCTTGTCAAGGTCATCATCCCACTCACTGACCATCCCACCCAGAGGTTCTAAAAGGCAAATGACTATACCTGGAGATAAATTTTCTCTACATCGCTCTTCCCAACTTTTGCTTCTGTTCCCCTGCAGAGTCACAAAGTTTGACATTAAAGCCCTTCCGCGCTCATGCACTTGGCCTGGCAGGCAATAGATCCACAGCTTCCTGATCCAGCATCAGAGGACAGCGCTCTAGGGTACGACCTT